CTCAGCTTCTTGCTGCCGTGTGCTTTCTTACCCCAGGCAGAGCAGCATGTGCTGTGGAGAATAGAAGTGCTGTGACTGCAGCAGTGGTACTCCTACTTTGTGCGCTTTTTGGCTCTACATTTTTCTGTGTCTTGCAAGGATCCTAACAGTTGTAGCACCCCCTTTCTTCATCCCCTCCCTCATGGGAGAGTGCTCTCCAGAATCTCTGCTGAGCCCCGTTATTGCTGATATAGATTGCTTGCTTGCTTGGTTTTGCAGCATTCCTGAGAGTCCTTGCAAGGTACTGACTGCCTAATTCGTGATGTGGGGTTTTTTTGGGTTTTTTGGTTTGGGTTTTTTTTTTTTCGGTTGAAGCTGGTTTTAGCAGAAAATTAAAGCTGAGAAGTAGAATGATATACAGCAGGGAAGATAGGAAAGAGTTAAAATTAGAAGAGCAAGGAAGAACGAGAGGTGAAATAGATGCATATACTAGCCCTTAACTGATGTTTGCTAATTAGACAGAAGAAAACTTTACATTTCTGTGGCACTTCAGACTATTGTGGTGGTAGCTTTAAGCACTGGGTAGTATTCCATAAGTCTTTTACAGACCTGCAAGGAAATAATTACTCATTTCAGAATGTTTTGTTGTTTTGACTTTTTTTTCCCCCCTTGGAACCCAAGTATAAAGTATCTTTTTTCTGTAGTATTGAATTCAAAGTTTAGTGACCCTTTCTGCGAGCCAAGTCGGCAGAACTACGCCGAGTTGCATTGGTATTGCTCAGGAGCTAACAGGCAGCTTCTGATGTCTGAGTGATTGGCATTGACTGGGAATGTGTAACCCTGACTTATCATGGGAGGATGGCTGCATGCGCTTCCGCTCATACAGCATCCTTGGCAAGGGAGCTGCCTGTTGTTTGGGCCTGTGTGCATAGCATCTTATTATGCAGATTTTTCTTTGTTTTACTTGAATAAATGATCATATGAACTCTTGTAATGCACTTTGCATGTATAAACACAAATCTGTAGATCTGTACAGCTGCATCTAATATAGCAGGAGGAGAAGGAGCTTGTATCGGGATGGGGAAAAGTAGAGTGCAAGTCTCTGAGGAACACCTTCATTTCTGTAATACTTCTGTTCTTAAAGTGCACCTCAGGATCTGAAGTATCGCTGTACATGACTACACAAACTGCTAGTGAAGCACACTTTTCTGTGCTGAGAAAACCTTCAAAGGCAAGCAGGGGGGGAAAAAACAAAACAAAAAATGTGGAAGAGATTGAGTGAAGAGGAGGTTTGGAATCAGACTCTAAAACAAACCAGAAGCTAATGCCACTGTGTCGTAGTCAGACATGTGGCTCATGCTATGCTTCCATGTTGGTTCTTGTTCATGATACTCTACATTTTGTTTTATAGCTGCCAGTGTCTCCCCGTGCTTACATGAACTGAAGTGCATAGCAGCTAAAAAAAAAAAAAAACTTGTCTTATTTAATCACTAGCATGCTTTTATTACAGGACTTCTGCAAGCAAGAATTCCTTTTTATAAAGAACAACCTCTTGAAACCAAACTTGTGTTACTTTTTATGCTGTTCATGTTACAAACAGAAGATTTCAACAGTTGCAAGCTTGAGATGGCTGAGTAGTAGAAAATTGAAGGTATCCACAAAGGCTAACTTTCTTCTATAAGCTACCTAGTCAAAACCAGTGTTTGTCTGCTTTATTAGTAATAGCTGCTAAGTATATTTTAGTGATTCACAGATACAGTGTTTGCGTGCTGTAGTGTCTTTTTTAGTAGATGCATTTTTATTAGTTAATGTTTGTGCAAACCATAGGCAAAGAAAAACTTCAGCAGGGAAGGTGGTTGCAACCATGGAAGACCACTGCTCGATCACTTTTAGAGTTTTTCCTTTGATTTGCAAATCTGTCATTGAGCCTAAATGTAGCAACATATAATTCAAATGCACCAAACAACTTCCCCCCCACCCTGGAAACTTATCCACATCATACAATACGGTAAGAAACAAGGTTTTGAGTAATGAAATGAGTTGTGATATTTCAGCCCTGGAGGGAATTCAGTGTAGGCATGAACTTTCTTAAGGGAAGTGTGGTTTCTGTGGGAGCTACCTTGCTCATTAGAAGGAAATCTTCTCACACGGGCTGTTAACATGAAGTGAGTCTTTCCTCCCCTCTTTCCATATAAATGAGCTCTCTGGGTAGTGAGTTGCTTTAATAGAGACCTAATCTTTAGAAACAAAGCAGGCCAAAAGAAAGCAAGTTTAACTTCTGCTACAATTACATGGTAAGAGCCCAGAACTTTGTTTTACTACACTCCACCTTCCAGTTTGGTATTAATGTCTTGTATTAATTTCTCTGGACCTTCAGCCTGAGTACAGAGCTGGGATGGCTATAGGCTGTGTTTGGATTCTTCAGGGATGGTGGACTTGTCAAATCTGTGAAGGTTGATATCAAATGCCTACTGGAAAACCAAAATGCTCAGTGTTAGCCTGTGGGTTTTTTCAAGCCACTATTAAAGGTTGCAGTTGAAGGCATTAGTTGACTTTACGTGAGATTGACTCTTAAACTGACTTACACTTCTGATTGTTGGAAACTTAAGGAATGGCTGCTTGCCTCCTGATAACTGGTCTTGTTCTTAATACTGAAGGTGATCACCTGCTGTGAAGCACGTATGAACTCCTCACAGTAGTGTGTTCTGGCACATTTTGGGCAGGGGGGACAACACCCAAATGTTTTGGTGTCAGCAACCGAAATTTTTTGCTTGTCTAGGAGAGATGCCTCATTCTTTAGGTTTCACTTTGTATCAAAAATAGAGGCTTCCTGTTGCATAAAGACAAGGGAGTTGCTGGCATGCAGGCATTTAGGAGTGTTAAGGGAATTAACTAAAAGTGTGAAGATAAAGTGGATACTTTTAAAGCATATTAAATATTTGTGTGGATGCTCTCTATTTAGACATAAAATGGCTTCAGTTCCCTTAGCTTAATCCCCCTTTGAAAGGGGATTAAGCTAAAGTGAACATAAAGTAGATTAAACTCCTGTGTGGACATTAACATGAGTTAACTTATTTTCCCTTCCCTGAATGACCTTCTACACCATGCCCTTCAGGATGTTTTAGGAAGTGATGGAGCTCTTCAAGCTTTATTAAAGCTGTAACTGATTTGAGTGTCTGGAAGTCAGTATTTCAGAATAACCAGCATACTCCATTGAAAAGGATAATACAGAGTTTTCTAACAAATAACTGTCCTTTGAAAGCATCAACAGCGTGTGGAGGAGATAATGGGCTAATGATGAATACACGTATGTACAGGCTTAGAACACAATGGAAGGAATTATTTTTGACCATTTAATGACAAGCTAGCCTATCAAAGTTGTACTGATGTTTTCCCATAATATAATCGTAGAATATAATCACAGAGAGGTTAAGGTTGAAAGGGAGCTCTGGAGGTCATCTAGTCCACCATTCCTGCCAGACAGGAGGTGGCCACCTAGAACCAGTTGCCCAGCACCATGTGCAGACAGCAATGTTCCTGTTGTCAGGTCTTTGCAATTTGTCTTTTCCGAGATGTGCTTCTGAATCCAAAGACCCTTGGTGGATCCTGCTCCTCCTCAAGTCCTAGTACACCCTGTGGGGGTTGACAGTTGGGTAACGTGGCAGGATCTGTGCCTTCATAGCTGTAGAAACAAGAAAGCTAAATTGTGTCCGAATAAGTTGTAGCCCATTAAATCTGGTTTTGGGGTGTGTTATGTAATTGTGGTAGTGATATGTGGGCTTTGGTAGCAGCTGCAATGCTAACAAACTTTAAAATAGAGCATTTCTCATGTACACAGCCTTTTTCAGGCTCTTGGAGGATCACAGGATAGTTCGGGCTGGGAAGGACCTCAGCAGGTCTCTGGTCCAACCTCCTGCTCACAGCAGGTCATCTCTGAGGTCAGATGAGGCTGCTCAGGGCTTCTTCCAGTCAGGGCTTAAACTCTGGGGAAGGAGACTACACAGCCTCTGTGGGCAACCTGTGCCACTACCTGGCTGTCCTTATTGGGGAAAAAGCTCCTCCTTATATCTAGGCTGAACCTTTTATGTTTCAGCTTATGACTGTTGTCCCTTGTCTTCCTGCCCTGCACCACTGTGAAGAGCCTGGCTCTGTCTCCTCCATGATCTTCCCACAGGCACTGGAGCTGCTGTTAGGTCCCGCTGAATCCATGTCTGCTCCAGGTTGAACAAGCCCAGCTCTCCCAGCCCTTCCTGCAGCATCTGTGCTCCAGCCCTGCCATCTCAGGGGCTTCCGCTGAAATCCATCCAGTTTGTCAAAGCCTGTCTTGCATTGCTGGGGCTCAAAACTGGATGCAGTATCTAAATAAGGGCTTTCTTGGCTTACTGCCATTTCTGTACTTTGAGAAACTGCGCAGCATCAGCGCTGTTAACAGCTGATCTTGGGCTGAACTGGCAGTCCTCAGGACACAGGTTCTTAATCACCTTCTCTCCTGAAGGGGGGAAGCTTTGGTTTCCTTAATTGTCGCTCTTCACTCTTAGGGACCTGACATGAGTAGTGATTCATGTTTGTCAGGATAACCAGCCGTTCTGCTTGGAGCACCTGGGTGCAGAGGCAAATCCAAGCCAGGGTGTAGTGGCTCACTGGATCCTCAGCAGCCATGATAACAGGGTGAGCTATGCTCCCTTCTCATGTAGTCCTGTTTCCCCAAAGCTTTCGTAGGAACTGCTTATTTTAAGGGAACAAAGAGTTTTCTAGAAATACTCTTTTGAGAACTCTTGCAGTTGACTTACTCTGTACTTCCCATTCTAGTGCTTTGTGTGTGGATTTTTGTTGGCTAAGACTAAAAAGCATGATTTAACACTTACCAGGGTAATTGTTTGCAGTGAGAATGCTGCTTTTGCTTTAAAGGTGCCCTTAGGCAATGGGATTTTGGGGTGAGGAAGTACCTTCTGTTTGGGTGGTGACCTTGTTGAAACAAATTCTGCTCAAGACTCTTACTTTCGGGCTTCTTCTTTTGCCAGGATGTTTGTCCAGGTATGCCTGTACTTCTACTGCAAATGTTTGTGGCGCTGCCTGAAATTCGTGGTCCGGAAACTAACAGGTCGATGTGAGTTGCAAAGGATCTGTTACAGTACCAAACCTGGAGCTGCCAGAACTATGAAAATAGGTAACTGCACAATACTTACTTCTGCATGCCTTTGTACCTTTCTGCATGTGCTAAAAATAGTATGACTTCATTTTTGTAAGTAAATAAATAAAGTGAATCCAATATAAACTTAGCTTGTCTGACATGATGCTTTCAAATACTGTTCTCTTACAGAGGCATCACTGAAAGGTTCAAAAAGTAAGGTGAGTGAAAGATCCCGTCATTCACCTTTTCTGTTGTGTCCTGTGCAGTTGTTTCTTCAGTCTGCTGTTTGCTCACCCCAAAAAATCACTTTAAGGTTTGATATGATTTTATATTAAAACCATCTTCTACTGAAAAGGGCCTTGTGTCCACAATAGCAGGTGATCTTGCAAAGTCAGGGAGAGTGTCCTGTGCCCTGGGGACAGGCATGCTGTGGCACTGATGGAATCAAGGGGGCAACAGGCCATGGTGGAGACAACAAGGGTGATGCGTTGTAATTTGGGGTTTCTTGGCTTGATTCCTCATCCTGTCTTAGAATTTCTGTAATCTGCAGTCAGTCACCTACACACTTTACACCTCAGGTTTTTTTGTCTGGAAAGCAGGGATAAAAGAGGCTGAAGGCAGCAGTCCCTAGATAGGCAAGACAACTTTGTTCTCTGCTTTCCTTTTAAATATGTTAATGGAGAAGAGCCTCTGTCACTTCATCCTTTCACTGTAGCACTGGTTGTGCTAACCTAAATTCTTCTCACAAAGCATTTGTGTATATGTTAAATAGCATCATTCAGCCATTCATTTCTCTTTGGGATGAGAATCAGTGGTGTTGAGAAGCTTACCTCAGTATTAGCAAAAACTATGTCACATAGCTCATAATTCGGCATGGTGCTTCCAAATGTACTTCTAGCACAAAAAGAAAGGGAGAATCTTATTTTAAAGCCTGCATTTAAGCAATTGTGTAGTTTTGAGACCAAGCACCAGAAAGTTCAACCTCTTAATTTTTTGGAAGGCATGTTGATTTTTGAATACTGGACTTCCAGGGGCATCTCTACAAAGTGCAATGAAGCAAGAGAAAGGAAAAATGTTTTACTGTGTTACTGCAAGATGTTGGGAGAGGGGGTGCCAAATGAAGGCTAGTAATTCCAGTGTAATTAGGCGGATGGTCTGAAGCTGATTCTTGATCAAAGACCTCTGTGCAGATTGTCTTCACTGGCAGCCACCACAGAAATGTGATAGACTGACTACAAGGGCATGGCAAAGCGACTCAGGTTCTTATAGGGCTAGCGCTCTGAAACCAGTCAGTAGGGTTGAATGGACTGGAAAGTGTGTGTATATATATGTTGAGTTGGGTCTTCTGGGCTCTTAATCTAGAAGCTTTTGGATATCAAATTTAACATTCTTAACTTCTATTGAATAATAGCTCCCATAAGAATTAATATGTATTTAAAATCTCTTTTTAGCGACTGCAAACTTCAGTAAGTGTTCACCCTGATGCTATTGAAAAAACTATAGATGACATCATGGAGCTGAAAAGGATTAATCCAGATATAAACCCACAGTAAGTCCATGGTTTCCTTACAAAACAAATGGGAATTATTGATTTCTTCAGTGCCTAAGTCCATGGAGAACTGATTCTCCATAGCTATTGTGGCACACAATTTGAAGATGAATTTTGTCTCTCAGCATAAAACTCCAACTTAAGCTTTGCTGTCAAAAAGCTGATGGAAAAATGAATGATCTTTTATGGTGACTGTAATAGTCAAGTCCTGAGTCTCTTTATCTCGCTGCTTCCTGAATCATGCTGTCTTAGTATATTGTTGATGCATTGATTTATGGGGGCCGCTTCCCCAGGGATAAAATGCCACCAAGGCAGGTGGTCCTAGCAGTGACAGTGGCTTCTTAGCAAGGCTGTATGCAGTCTTTTGAGTAGGGAAAAAGTCATCCTGTTGTAACTGATATAAATGGTATACTGGTTTACATTTTAAAACTGCCTTTTAATTATCCAAACCCAAGCTTTAATGATACAACATATCTGATATTCTTTTAATGCTACAAGATGTTAGTGGTAAGAAGAGGTTGACAACAAACCATTAAATTTACAAGCGTGTATTTCAAGAGTAAGTGATAACACTTTTGTGGTTGCCTTACCTCTCAGCCCCTACCTTAAGCCACAAGATGATCTAGGTCAGGAATCTGTGGGAGAAATGGTGAAGGATGTATATTATTCAGATGATCAGTCTGAGGTTCACTCCTCTTCCCAAATTTGAAATTGATGTACATAATCCAAAATGGGCATCCATAAGTTGATAGCTGCTTTTCTTTAAGTAGTCAGCAGCATCAACAGGTAAGGTGGTCCCAAGGTCTTGCTGCAACAACAAAACCCAAAAGCTCAGTTCGAAAAGTATAAATTTTTTTTTTTGTCTCATTACAGGAGTGACCCCCTAGCCCTAACCTCCAGTGAAAAGGACAGTAACTGGGTAGTCTTAAAATGAGGCTTCACTGATTATAAAGGAAATAGAGCATGCTGGGTGTCTCTCTAACTTGAGAGACAGCTGTTGTGGACATGACCACTGTCCACCTGGATTGAAAAAATGGTGACCCAACCATTAAAGAATGGAAGAAAATAAGAGAAACAAAACAAAGAAAACACATCATTCTCATACATGAGAAGCCCCTTGAAGTTTTCTGGGAGTGGGCCCAGAGCTTTTCCAGGGGTGTCACTTCACAGGACCTTGCCCACATGACCTTCAAAGGGAGGGTGATGAAAGAGCAGCTGCTTCAAGTGGATGCAAGGCCACGCTGAGAGGCTGCCCATATGAGGAGGGTGTCACAGCCCTGGTATCTTGTATTGCACAGGATACTGATAGCTGAAAATCAGCAATGGCAAAATTAGTGAAGGTGACATGAGGAAAAACTGCAGGATGTAAATGTGCACAGCTCAGAGCCTGGCCTGTGGACATCAGTAACTGCAGCGTTAGCAATCAGGCTGATTCAAGTACTTGCTTCTCAGTGTTGGACCCTTGGGTAACTGGGTGGAATAATTCCAAGAAAAAAGCAAGGAATTCATTAAAATAGTATTTTGTATGACACCAGAGATCACCATCTGATTCTCCTCATGGCATTGCCTTTAGCCTCTGAAGAAATGCTGTCTTCCAGGAGAGAGTGCAGAGGTGCAAATGACTTCTGCTTGCTTGAATCAGACCCCTGAACCTTAAGTTGCATTTTGAGTGATCTGGTCCTAATACTAAAAAAAGAAAAAGAAAATTTAAGAAACTAAACTATTTTTTGTTTAATCCAGGTGGTGTTCATATGCTTAGCACAGAACAAATGATTAATTGTTTTTGGACTAGAACTCATGCACTCAACATCTTACAGGACTGAGTCTTTCACACCATACCTCCCCAATTTAGTGAAATATCTCTAAAACAGTGAGAAATAAGGGCCTGGGATGTGCAAGATGATGCCACATCTGTAGAAACACACCCTGCCACTAAATTGCTCCTTATATTAAATTAAATGTAGTTCGGCTAAACTTTAAGCATCTGCACTGAAGTTTTACATGTGAGCCATTTATTTTACACTAAATTTTTTCTAGAGAAACTTCAGCAGAAGCAGGTCAGCTATTTCTTTAGACAGGATTAAGGAAAATCAATTGGCTTGCCTTCTCTTGAACATAAAAAACCTGCATCCAAACTGTCTTGTTCAGAAGCTCTGACCTTCTCTTGCATAGTAGAGACTTGAAATCTCCTGGGGTAAGGACAAGGGGCCATGTGTCGTACTATATATGTTTCTGCAAATCTGTATGTGGTCATTTTTGTTACTGTAGCATCTTTGCAGAGCTGAACTAGCATCCCAGGGGTGTTTGTACTGAGCTGAATGCTATAGGCTGCCATGACCTGAAGAGAGGGAGGCCCTTTATCAGTGCCTCAGAGATAAGAGTGTGTGTGCTTAGTGGTGGGAGCGAGTAGGTTGAATAACCAGGTGGTAACACATGCAGTCTGCACTAACTACAGTAGCAGTCCATGAAACACTCCCCGTTTTGGACTCACCTCCATCTCATGGAGCGCCTGGTGCTGAGTGTTGCAGGTTGCTCCTGTGCACTGCCGGCACAGGGGTGGTAGGGAGGAGGTGTGGGGCATCAGCAGCTCACCCAGGTCCTCTGCTTGGTGCTGCTGGGGCAAGGAGGAGAGCAAAAGCTTAATGAAAGAGAAACTAATTCTCCCACCCCCCCCACCCCCCCGTGAATAACATTGCACAGAGCATTTGGCTGGCTTTATCTGAAGTGCAAACATGGTTTGCTTTGTATGTTGTGCAACCTGGAACTTAATTTTTTTTTTTTTAAATATAAAATTGCTCTGCTTTGCCTGTGGTGTTCTGCTCTAAACTATTCTGAGGTTATTGAGTAGGTAAAAACATTATGGCTGTGGTTTAGTAATGCACTACAGCAATTCACATGCAGTCTTGTCAGGCTTTTCAGCTTTCTTTGAAATGCAGCCTTTCCTTGAAACTGTAGGGTATAACAAGTGAAGCATGTTTTTAAAACAACAAACAAAAAAACCCCCACTACAACCCA